ATAACGTTCCTTTCACCAGGGTTTTTTTTTTCCTGTAGTGTTATAAAGTACACTTTTCCCCCTGGCCTAGGCTGCTATAGGTATGACTCAGTGGGTACTGAAGACTTCCAAGCCCTCAGAAGCCCAGACTCCCAGCATCCTTCCTGCCTGTGGCACATCCACGTCCCCCCCGGCCACCAGGTGGAGCTGCGCCTGGAGTGGGCTCTCCCTGAGTGTCGGGACCGCCTGGCCGTGTACGACTCCATCGCCCCCTCCGACTCCCAGCTCATCACCTCGTGAGTCTGCGCCCGTTAGTTTAAGAGAATCGCACTTCGCCACTCTTTTTCCTTCACTGAATCCCGAAACCTAAATCTTGTGGCCAGCCCTGCAAGTTTCAGCAAGTCCTATATTAAAGAAAGTTTTGTAAGTTTGACAGCGCTCAAGAGGTCTGAAATTTCTATTTGTGATGTATTTGTTCTTCATAGTGGAAGTCGAAGGCTGCTTTTCAAACTATAAAACAGAGTGGACTTTTGTTAGCAAGTGACTAATCCAGCAACCCTACCAAGGCATTTTTTAAAATCGTTGATGTGGGTAGAAGCCAGCACTGCGGTCAGTCTGATTCCCTCTCTGTGTGATCCCTCCCTCTCTTTCTTCTCTCTCTTTCGCTCTGACTCAGTTTGTACGGCTGCAGCAGACAGGAACCTGTGGTGCTGGTGATGTCATCAGGCGGGGTGATGTCAGTGGTCTGGAAGCAGGGCCTGTACAGTTACTACGACCCCTTCTTCCTTTTTGTCCGGGCCCGGCCCAATCAGGGTAAGTCTCTGGCACCTCATTCTTGTAGATGTGTCTGGCCAGTGCGGTTTAGCTGAAGAAACACGGGAATGCTCAGAGACAAGATGAGCTTAATTGGCTTCTTTTCTTTTCTTTTCAGCTTGCTAAAGTCCATAAGCATTTTCCTGAAACATCCCAGCAAGCAAGCTTGCATGTGGTGGCGTGGTTGGTTCCATCCATCCGCCACTCTCTGTGTAAAGACCCACTCCCTTATTTTCAGCCCTTATTGGGTCTGGTCTTTGTTTTTACTACCGGTTTCGTTGTCGATTTTGAAATGTTAGATTGAATTTATTTAAACTATAATTTAAATATTTCAATCAGAATTAAACATTAAACTGTGACCTTTCTGAACACAAGACTCAATATTGTCCCATTCAGGATTTACTAGTAATGTCTTGTACAATTATAACCTCAATGTAAGGATTACTCTTTATTCTCATTGCTGTCCTTTACCGATGACTAGAATTCCTACCATTGTGAATCACTGTTTTAACGTCCACTGTCCTCCTTTCTGTAGTGTGTTCAGGCAATATCACCCTGGAATCAGTGTTGGGGGTTCAGGGTAATATTCGCACCCCCTTCTACCCCAGCTACTACCCCCCTAATACGTTCTGTACCTGGCACTTCAGAGTAAGTACCATCTTTTTTTTTTTTACTGCTGTTAATCCCTCTACTGTATATACCATTGTTAATGTACTCTGTAGTTTTCAGAATACACCATCCCTCAGATTTACAAACAAATCTTTCCCTAAACCTTCGCAAGGAGAAATTTCTTAAACTGGAAATGCAGTTTCCCCGTCTTTGCATGTGAAACCTGATTTGTCCCCAAGGTCTAGAAAATCACCCAAGCATGCATGTTTTTACCCTGCCAGGGTTATTATCCTGATTATCCTTATTTTCATGATTCATTGCTCTCATTTTAGCCCGGTACAGTAGTTAATACAGAGAAGGTGAATCTGTAAATATTCTAAGAGCACAGACAGATGAAGGAAGTACAGTAGGAAGTCGAGCTCTGAGGATATCATCTTCTATTGGGCCACAAGGGACATGTCTTCTTAGCCAAAATCTCTCCTGAAATGCCAAAAAAAAAAAGTTATGAAATTGCATGCTTTGTTAGAGTGAAAATTCATACCTCGTAAATCAAGAGATTTCTGTACTAGTGTCTACATGTGTGTGATTTTAATTCAGTGACTCCAAAAGCCTTTAAACTTCAAACTGGTCCAGTGCCATCAGGATCTTTTCTCCAGACCATATCTTCACTTTCCAGTTCTTGTCACAGGAGCTCAGAACCATATATTTCATAGAAGAATGACTTGTTTTGGCTTCACTACAGATTGAGCTGGAACACATTTGGCGTTGGGGAAAACAATGGATAATGGGGAAAAAAGAGAGGTTAACAGGACAGGAGAGCCACTTGAGAAATGAATAGTCCAGAGATCATTCCAGTCCATCATAACACTTGAACTATTTTCACTGATCACTTCATCTCAGAACTTTGTTCCAAAAAACAAACAAACACCACTCCTGACCCTTGGTATTTTTAATTGCCACAGCAATTGACTTTCTTGGCCACATTGTTGAAAAAGACCATTTATCGACAGAAAATATCTTGCTACACTCATTTAAAATTACTAGGGGAAAACCCATACAGTACAATAAAGAGCTCAGGACTATTTAAAAGTTGTCCAGCTTTCACAAAAGAGAGGAAATCTCAGGTCACTGAGTGCTATAGCAAAGCAAACCACAGCACGACTCTGTGTAGGTTAAATGTGGTGAACTTTTCATGTTGGCCAGAAGTGCACTTTTAAGAAACGTCTCGTTGGTTTGACAAAGTTGGAAACTCCCCGGGGATATTTAACAAATGCAACAAACCCATCATAAATCTTTTGACCTTCACACCAATCATCGAAGTGGGAATCGGATAAAGCTTGTCTTGAGAGACCAGTTCTAAAAAGGCTCTAAAGGGACTTTCAGGGAAACTGAATTTAATAGATTAAGCCTTTACTGATATCAAAGTCTGCTATACCAGATGACAATGCATTGGCTTGGGATTCATTTTACATGAGATGTTTGCCCAAACTGCGCACAAACATCTGTCGGACACTAATATTTCTTGCATGCGAAGCTAAATTGATAAATTTGTGAGCTGGTGAGCCGTTTAAATGTGCTGTCCATGACGTTTATCATGCATGACAGCTTCCTGAGCATTAACAGATGCGCTTCAGCAGAGAAACCCCAGACTTGGCTGGGACATGCAGGAGCTCTGCTCTGTCCTCACTGTGTGTGCCGTGTCTCTGCGCCAGGTGCCCTCTGTGCAGTATGGGTTGACGCTACACTTCGAGGGGTACGAGCTGAGCAGGGCGAACTACAATCAGCCATGCACACAGGGGCAGTGGGTGATTCAGAACCGCAGGTAGGTGTGTCCTGGCTGTCATAAGGACATCTAGGCCATTAGGGAGTTATTAGCTCATACAGCCAAGGGGGTCATTCAGCCATTTCTTGAAAGAAACCAGATTATCAGGTTCAACAACATGGCTGGGTAGTTTGTTCCGTATTCCCATAATCCTTTTGGTTTGTGTTTCTCTGTTCATTCTTTCATTGACATTTCTTGCCTTTTCAAACCAGGGATCACCTCCAAGACTGTGTGGGGATTTGGGGGGAGAGAATTCTTCAGGGAAAGCATGATGACACACTCCAAACCTGTCAAATGAAGCCCTCGCTCATTCCATTTTGATTTCTGACCTTGTTATCCTGCTTTCCTATGTGATCCTGTAGTCTTAATGGTCTGTTACCCAATAGTGGCTTCCCAAAATGATCCATCTGCAGGGTTTTGTTTTATACTAGGCTTGTAATGAGGTCCCATGGCAAGAGGAGTTTGAGAACATTCAGTACTAAGTGATTGCCTTGCATTTTAACAGAGGGACATGAGCTCAGCCCTGTAGGGTTCACTGCTATTGTTCTGAATGACAGCTGATTATACAACTATAGGAAAATCCTTGTCATGACCACCTAAGCAGGCAATTTGATCAGGTGCCTAATGTCAAGGCCAGCCTTGAGTGAAATCCAGGAGTTACTGTAGCACCTGTTGGTCTGGGTTTGTGGAATGAGTATCAGGCAAGATCAAATTCAAGACTGCACGGTATTCCTGCTTGTAGTATCAGGTGCTTTTTTATTTAACATGTTAGAAAGATGGTGGCACTGTGGCTAAGGATCTGCGCCTGTGGCTGGAAGGTTACCGGTTCAAATTCCGCGGCCGGCAGAGGAAACCTACTCTGTTGGGCCCCTGAGCAAGGCCCTTAACCCCAGCTGCTCCAGGGGCGCCATATAAATGGCTGACCCTGCGCTCTGACCCCAAGCTTTTCTCTCCCCATCTGTGTGCCTGTGTGTCTTGTGGAGAGCAAGCTGGGGGTATGTGAAAAGACAAATTCCTAATGCAAGAAACTGTATATGGCTAATCTTATCCTATCATAGTGTGTCCACAGGGGTCTCCCCAGTCCAGCTGCTTGTTGACAGTCTGCCTGCTTCTCCCCCAGGTTGTGTGGCACTCGGGTCCTGCGACCCTACGCCGAGAGGCTCTTCTTGCTGTCGCCCTCCACCACCGTCGCCATGACATCACAGGTCTCCCTCACTGGCCCGGGAGTTCAGGTCCTCTACAGCCTCTTCAACCAATCGGATCGTGAGTGCCCTCTGCAGCCTGCCAATCGCAGGCCGTGCTTCCATTCAATTCAAGCTTTATTGTCCCACTCGGGGCAGTTTGTTAAACAGAACAGTCCCAGCATAACAACACGATGACAGACACAATTTTACCAACCAAGAAGTCGGTGTAACAGTGTTACAGCAAGATATGGGCGCAGATAGTTCCGGTACGTTGTTTGAAAGAGATATTGCAGCAGGCGAGAAAAAGATTTCCTGTGTCTATTAGTATCACACCAGGGGGCACAGAGGCGTCTCCCAGATGGGAGAAGTGTGAGTATTAGGGTTAATTGATCTGTTTACTGCATTCACATCTCGGTTTCAGAACTTCCTAGTTGTAGATGTCTTAACAAGACCGAAAAGCCTGTCAGTAAGAGTTGACCTCCCAGTAGCATGATAAATCGCTCTTAGTAGGCGATCATATTTCTGTGAGGTACAGCAGAGAAATGTTCTGAAACAACAGAAACTCTCTAGGGCCTTTTATAAAGCGGGCACTGCCCAGGTCAACTTCTTCCCTTACCATAAATGTCATGTTTAGGACACAGGTGAAGCAGAGCTAGTTGGGGCACGGTGACGTCATCGCCCTCCCTGCGCTTAGACCCCTGGGCTGGGGGAGGTCTCCTTTAGCTCACTCGGCTGGTTCCCTGTTTCGACCCGGGTTCGAGCCCCAGGTGTGGCGGGACGAACCTGCGGAGTGCAGCGGCGAGGTCACACAGGCACCACATGGATCTAAACAGAATGTTAGACGATATACAGTATATGGTTTAGGAATATTTGAGTTTCCAACTCAATGTAAATTCTGATACCCAGATATTTGAGAGTGTTGCCCGGTCTTGCACAGACAAGTTATTTTCTTAGATGACTGAAAGGGTCATTTGAAAACTAGTGTGCTGCCTGCTTTCTTAACAACAGCAGTGTTGAAGTACGGATTCTCCATTTCTCTGTGATACCCCACAGCTTGTCCTGGACAGTTCCTGTGCACTTTGAATGGCCTCTGTGTCCCAGCCTGCGATGGCATCAAGGATTGTCCCGATGAACTGGATGAGAGGAACTGTGGTAAGACGAACCGAGATCTCTGGATTTGTCCTGTTCAGTGTCAACTTTTTTCATTTTTGAAGATGACTTTTTTTTTCTCCTCTATGGTAGGCAAGATATGTAATTGCTTTATTAAATCTGGTCGCTGTGCAATCATGACTTCTTATTCACTGGACAACTTGAGTCCATAACTGCTCCAAAAAGGTCAGTAAAGTTCTTCGCATTCTTGAAGTACGATCACCTCTTCAGGAATGTCTTGTATATGGAGTTGTGCATTGTCTTCGCTTGTCTTCTCTGGAACTGAGCATTAGATTCAAAATTCAAAAGAACAGTTCAAAATGAAAAATTACCCATCAATATAATCTCTGTAAAAGAGTATGTCTCTCTCCCCTAGGAGAGCTGAAGGAGGCTTACAGTGTCTTAGCCAATCAATTCCTAATCTTTTTCTTTGGTAACAATAAAAAGTTTAAGAATAAGAGAAATGCATCTTTCTTGTCTACTGTTTACATTTTGAAGCTCCGTTTTAGATTATTTATAACTAAGCAGTGGTGTGCTTAAACCTGATTCGAGGACATAAGACCTAAACAAGTTCAAAATTTGATTTAAATTACATTCCTTTCCACACAAGACGTTTTCTTTAAATTGCCCTTAAGAAGATGCAAACAGTGATGTATGTTTGGGCTTTGCTAATATGTCATAAGCTTCACATCCCTCTGTTTGCTGGTATTTTATTAAGAAAGATCATGTTGAATCCTTTCTTTTCCATCCTGATGCTTGAGGGCCACTGTGTCTTCTTTTAATCAGTGGTGCTAATTGCTGCCTGTAACTGATGTCTTGTCTGAACTCTGACCTTGGTTTAAAAAATACAGTAGAAAAAGTGCTATATTTCTAACAGCTTCAGCACACTAAAATGTATGTAGTTGTCTCCTCAACCAAGAATTTAGGCTCTGATGAACAAACTGGTGGGATTGGTACTGTATTAAACATGCCCACTGGGGGAGTGACTGTGTTGAGCAGTTGATTTAGATTTCGGCTTGCGTACCTGAATGCGATCCTGAACCTTACTAGTTAACGCAGAGCTCAAACCAATGTGCAAATCCTGTAATTGGCTTGATACTTTGTCTCCTGAACCACCGAACGCCCGTCAATGCCAAGAAAATATTTTTTTTACAAGCTTCAGGGGGAGGGCAATGCACCAGAAATGGTTACATGCAAGGCATCAATGTTTGCATGAGTACCAGAAGACTCAGTAGGCTTCCAGGGATTGATTTCCTCAGCCCTAAATGCAAGCTCGACCAAAGTCTCAAAAGACATGGCTAACGGATGTTTTCATATTGGTTTCCTGCAGTATGCACTGCAAAATACCAGTGCCCAGAGGACAGCCAGTGTCTGGATCACTATAAGGTCTGCGATGAGCATCTGGACTGTCTGAATGGCATGGATGAGGAAAACTGCACTCAGGGTAGGCTGGGCATTTCACTGATGCATCGAGAATTCACCCTGTCAGTGAAGCATCGTGTGCATTCCAAAAATTTCACATGCGCCTTTTAAACCAATTTAATTGTCTTCAGAATATATTGTGCAGATCTCGCTGTGTAGAAAAGTGTCAAAAAGTGGGACAAGTGTGAAGGGGGTAGTTCAAGCTCTGGTTGTGGGTTCAAGTGATGGAGAGGGCACAGCATTCTGTATTGGACATTGCTGTTGTCCCCTTGAGCATATACTTCACTTGGTAAAATAAATCTCAGTTGCAAGTAACTGGTTCTGTAATTGGAACACATTTACAGGGAATATCTTAGAACCTTGCACAAAATCTCCCGACTTTATGGAAAGAAACACAATCTTAGTTTGCACAGTATAGTCAATCACTTTAAATTTTAATCTGTTTGCTGGGAAAAACATTTTTTTTCTGATCAGCGCTGAATGCATTAAAAAACTTAATCAGTTTGGTTTTATTGTTTAATACAACTTTTTTTTGTGCTCTTGGAAGTATATTCTGGCAGGGGTCGCGCTGTTTCATGTACTCAGGCCAGACTGAGCTTGATTAATAGCCTTTGTTTTCTTATCACACATCTCATTGCAAAAGAAACTGTAGTTTGCGCACTGCCAAATACGAAGATGTCAGCCTGTGTTGTCCTTACCCCAGCTGTAGACTGCACTCGGACAACCTATGTGTGCTCAGATGGCACTTGCATCAAGAAACCCAATCCGCAGTGCGATTTCATCACCGACTGCCCAGACCTGTCGGATGAGAAGAATTGTGGTGAGAGCCCAAGATTGCTTTAACTGCCTGAACTTTGGAGTTTTAACAATACATGTGTCTGTAGTCTGCACTGTAACTGACCTGGTTTATTGGAAACGGAATTGAATGAAAATAATTTTTAATAGATATCATGGCGTATGGGTACATAAAGACAATGATATGAATTAATAAAACTTTATGAAGGAAATGAGATACTCGAAGAGCTGAGTATTTTGTATGATTCTCCATGTCGGGGCCAAAATATGGCAAGATCCCAGTCTATCAGCCTAGAGAATGTAGGTAGGCAATTAATCTGGGGCACTGGGAAATATTTGTACAGGTTTAGTATTGGTGCAAAATGGAGTGCAGCTTTGCAGGCTTTGGACTAAAATCCAGAATGGCTTGGAAGTGGCAAGTAATACCCTATTTAGGTGCAAATCTAGAGTATGAAGTACAGCCAATTCACTTCAAGGGCCAACTGGATTCTGATTTTATTGAAGAGGTGGGTGAGGAAAGGAGAAGGGTGTTTTCAGCTGTTTAACATTCCAAAAGCAGAGATCTGCAACCGTTCATATCCTTTCCTAGGATATATATAGTGCGCACAGTGAGCCGCTTCCCGAAACGCCTGCTCCACAGTTCTGTGCGATCCAGATAGCAGGATGCAGACATTGCAAAGCTGACGGAACAAAAGCCACACAGTTTTTCTTTCCAGGCACGACCCTGACTCTCTGCCTAC